TCCAGCAATGGTGGCGGTGGCTAGCACCTAGGATGGTGTTGGGACTGTGCCATTTTACTAACAGTAGTAATTTGAACAACTAAACAAAATCAGACACTAACAGTAGATCTTAGAAGAGCCCTAATTTGCCTATACATAAATACAATATGCTTATCTATAAAAATATATTTAACACAATAACTAATAGTGTAATATCTGAAATGATGAGTGGTTATAAGATCTGATCTCGTAATATAGAAGATATAGAACTAAAATTTAATAATAGCACTCTTGCATTTCAGTTTTTGTTTTTTTTCTGTAGTTTTGCATATATTTCCACACTTGATTCTCAGTATATGAGCTAGGTGGGGCAGTATTTTTATCCTCAAGTTGCAAATGGGGAAAATGAAATCCAGAAAGTGCAAGTCGTTTGCCTGAGACACGTGCCATTACAGAGACAGAAGCAGGTCTTAACCACAGCCCTCTGACACAAGCCAGACCAGAATTCTGACTTCCCTCTTTAGTGATAGAAGCCTTCCCCACCCCCAACCTGGCCGCACCACCCACCACAAATGTTAGGGTTAACCCTAGCCAACCCTTTTCTTATCTGGCTATTAACACCCTCTGAGGCATTTGCCCTGGGCAAATTCAGTATAAAAGTCTCCCTGGAGCCACGTGAGGCCTTTGGTATACCCTGGTGCTATAACTCGACCTTCCTCCATCTTGTGTGGCCATCCGTCTGCTGCTGTGTGGGGGCCCTGTGCCTGCACTCTGTTTGCTGTCACCTGTCACCCCTGCCGGCAGGCAAGGTGGGGAGGGTTCTGGTGTTTGCTGTGGATGCTGTACTCCGAGCAAGCAGAGACCTTGGGATTCTAGCACAGACTGACGGCAAGTGAAGAAAAGGTACATCTTGACTTTCCTTCTGAGCTTTTCTTTCTCTGGGACCCAGGAGGGTGCAGTGGCTGTGGGGACTGCTGGCGGATGTCTGGGATTCCTGCACTTCGCTGGGCACTTATGGGCAGGGGCTTGGTCACAGTGTGAGAAAAGCTCCCCTTCGTGGTTCTGAATGCAGCTTAAACAGCTACCGAGCACGTTGATGTAGATAGGGATCGGAAGGGAGGCAGAAAAATTAAAATGAGGTGTTTTATTTTTTGGAAGGGGGGGTTGATTTTTAGATTCATGGATTGTGGTCAATCTAAAAAGATTCCACTATCGTATTGTAATTATCCAATCAGTAATCACAGAATGTAACACAGTGTGCAGTGTTGGCTAAGTGCACGACATCTTATTTATCTCACTTTTTCCCGGTGTGGCTTCACTTCCTTTTCTGTCAGTAGGAGGCCTTATTGCACATCAGTATACCTTGTATGTGCATGTTGTTGCACACCCATATACCTAGTAGGGATTATAGCATGTTCACGCCTGTGTGTTGTTACACACTAGTATGCCTCATGTGTGTTACTCCATGTTAGTGTACATAGTAGATCTGTGTATATATGCATATATACATGTATATACATATATACACACACGTATGCTACTTACCCCACACCCATTTTCACCATTTCCTTTTTAAGGACTTCACGGGAAGTCAATTTTATTTATTTATTTATTTGTGTTCATACCCACTTTCTATCAGCAAAAGGGTTTTTAATTCTAACACCAGAAAATTTCCTTACCAAAGGAGCCAGGGGACCAGAGGCTGCCAAAAACTTGACCCACTTATTCTCTTGCTTCCAGACCAAAATCACACCGAGCGTACAACCGACGAATCATCTGTTTAGTTTGTCCAACTCCTCAGGCATGATCAGTTCCCTAAGAGATTTTCCTTTCTGCCAACAAGTTTATATATTGGATAAATTCTTCCTGCTCAAGTTTTCTTTTGCCAGAGTTAACTGGGCACGTGGAACAGCTGGTCTGCATTATTGCTGCATCAAAATGCACTTTGTTGCTCACTCCGTCAACCCCTGGGCTCTCCTGTCTGCCCTGTCGGGGTGGGAGTGATGGAAACCCACCCTCCTGGGTTTGCCCCTCAGTGTCTCGGGCAGGCCCAGGAGGGAGGATTTGTCTCTGGGTCACCGGCTGGCACGTGGAGTGCTTGCTTTCGTGTTTATTGGGTGCATCCTAGCAGACGTGAGTTTCCGGCCTTGGGTTCCCAGCACTCCTAAAGGATGGGGCTGGTGGCCTGTTTCCTGACGCACCACATGAAATAAAAAAGCAGGTCGTGTGCTGACTTTGGCTTGCAGCCTGCTGCTGGGGCCTCGACTTCCTCTTGGAGCCGCTCTGCTGCTTGGAACCTTGGCCCTTGTGTGTCTGTGAGTAGCTGGAACAGGCGCCGCTCTGTGGCAGCTTTGTCCCACGGGTGCTGCGCGCTGCACGCTCCGGGCCCGTGCAGTTAGGAAGCGCTGGCACACGGAGGGCTGCCTGGTGACCCAGGAGCCTCTTGTCCTTAGGGTGCTCCCTGGGCGCTGGTCTAGACGGAAGTAAACAAATGCCGCCCCTCTCAGCACCGTATTGGGGAGGTTTCCGTGGGAGCAGCCTGCGGGGTTCCTGGCCATTTTCAGATCCCCAAGACGCTGAGAAGCGACCCGCGGCTCGGGTCTTACCTTTTGAAAGGCAGGCTTCTTGTGGCTCAGATCTGGGCCAGGCAGCCAATGTGTGTCCCCTCCTAGGGACAGGAGCACTGCCCAGCACAAGTTACCATTTGAGCCGCTTCGTAGGCGCCATCTGGTTCAGCCTCATGAATGAGAGTCTGGCCTCGGTTTTAATGGACTCCAGTGAGCCTGTAGATTTTATGCTGCTACCTGAGTGGAAAATTTCTGTAGCTTCCCCCTCTCCTTCAACTTAAAGGGTATTTGTATGGCTGGACTTGGGCAGGAGGTGCATCTTTGGCCGCATTAGAGGAACTCAGGTCCATTGCTCTTGCTCGCCTCTCATTAACTTCAAATCCAGAGATCCATGACGGCCACTACGCCCAGGACGAGACTCAGCATCTCTCCTTGGAGGTGGAAACCAGCACCTGCTGTGACTGTGAGAGTGGCTACTGTCAACGAACCAGAGGGTAGCATTGGCGAGGAAGTGGGCTGCTGGGACCCTGGTGCTCCACTGATGGGAACATGAAGTGGTGTGGCTCCAATGGAGAACAGCGTGGCCATTCCCCAGAGAATTCAGAATATAGTAACTCGGTGGTCCAGCAGTTGCATTTCTGGGTTGTATAACTGAAAAAATTTGAAAGCAGGGTCTTGAAGAGATATGTGTGTACCTGTGTTCTTAGTAGCATTGTTCACAATAGCCAAGAGATGGAAGCACTCCAGACACCTATGGATGGATGGACGGATGAAGTGTTGTACATACAGATAATGGAATGTTACCTGGCCTTAAGAAGAAAAGAAATTCTTTGTTGTTGTTTGTAAAGATTTATTTATTTAGTTGAAAGAGTTACAGAGAGGCAGAGGCAGAAAGAGAGAAAGATCTTCCATCTGCTGGTTCACTCCCAAAATGGAGCTGGGCCAATCCAAAGCCAGGAACCAGGGGCCTCTTCTAGGTCTCCCATGTGGGTACAGGGGCCCAAGCATTTGAGCCATCTTCTGCTGCTTTCCCAGGTCATAGCAGGGAACTGGATTGGAAGTGGAGCAGCCAGGACTTGAACTGGCACCCATATGGGATGCCAGCACTATAGGCGGCAGCTTTACCCGCTACACCACAGTGCTGGCCCCAAAAAGGCAAGAAATTCTGATACATCCTACTGCATGGATGAACCTTAAGGACATTATACTAAATGAAATAAAGCAGTTACAGCAAATACTGTATGATTCCACTCATACAGGTGCCTAGAGTCACCAAATTCGTAAAGACAGAAACTAGGATTCTGGTTGCCCCGGCTTAGGGATTCAGAGGGTGGTGGGAGCAGGGCTCAGTTCTGCAAGATGAGAAGGGCTCTGGAGATGGATGGTGGCATGGCTGTGCGCAGGGTGAACTCTGCACACTGCTGAGCTGCGCACGTAGAACTGGCCCAGACCGTGTAGTCTGTTACAACACTGTGGCACAGTCAAAATTGAAATGTAGAAAAGGAACTAAAAAGTCCCTGCTGATGCCTGCAGCTCTTTTCCACCTCTCAGGGACAAGTCAAGGCTTTGTGGCCCCTCAGGGGAGCTCCAGGGGGCAGCCAGCCCCCTCCCAGCCTCCCAACCCTACCCCACCCCAAGCCACACCTGTCCCGCAGGCCTCTGGTCCCTACTAACAAGCTTGTGAGAACAACTTCTAATCTCATTTCGGGGTGGAACCTCTGTAGCTGTTACTTTAGTCAAGGCCTATTCTTTGTGATTCTACCTTTAAAACAAAAAACAAAAACCCTTTAAATGGCTTTGTTGTACGGGGAAGGGGAACGATCAGCCGCTCCTGTGGTGGGTGGTCTTATCTCCAGGTTGCCTCCCCAGCAGTGGGGGTCAGTCCCGCCTGGCTCCCTCCCTTTTGTCCTCTGAGCAGGCAAGTGCAGATGTCATCTGCACCAGGTAGGGTGGACACATCTGGCTTCCTCTGCACCTTCCTGACACCTGAGCAATCAGCAGTCCACAGGTGTTTCTTCTGGGATTTGAAAAAACTTCTTTTTTTTTTTTAATTCGAAAGGCAGGGCAACAGAGAGGGAGGGAGACGGTGATCTATTCACTGGTTCACTCCTCAGGGGCCCACAACAGCTGCTGCTGAGCCAGACCAAAGGCAGGAGCCAGGAACTCCAGCTGGGTCTTCCACGTGGGTGGCAGGGGCCCTAGCACTTGGGTCTTCACCTGTTGCCTCCCAGGCTGTACTGCAGCAGAAAGCTGGATCGGAAGCAGAGGTGCGACTTGATCCCAGGCACTGCAGTGTGGCGTGGGTAACCCTCTGTGGCACGATGCCCGCCCCTCATGTAGGACTTTGACAGTGATCCTTAGCATTTGTCTTCAGATAATTTTCATGAGACCTTTCCGGGTTTGGGGTTTGGTGCAGAATGCCTGCTAGAATGTTCTCGTATTTCTGTTTTTCAGCACTGCTTCATGAACTCCTTCCCCTCACTTGTGAAGTGCGCTGAGTGGGCCCCACGGTCATGTGAAGTGCACTGATCTCCCGTCTCCCTCAGAGCGAACACCAGGCTGCAGGTAAGCCCAGCTCAGGTGCACTGGGCACATGTCCAGGTTCAATGTTTCGGTTCTAAAATGCTTGATGATTGGTCGCCAAAGAAAAGCCGACTCATTTCCTTGTGGTGTGCGACTGTACATTTTTAAATACAAAAGAATTCAAAACCAAATTTATCTGGAAACGTAATTGGAAGCATTACCTCCAACTTGCCTAAAGTAAAGGCTCCCTGAGGGCAAAGTTTGGATCCCATGTCACTTTTTTTTTTTTTTTTTTTAAGATTTTATTTATTTATTTGAGAGGTAGAGTTACAAACAGTGAGAGAGACAGAGAGAAAGGTCTTCCTTCCATTGGTTCACTCCCCAAATGGCCGCCACGGCCAGAACTACACCGATCCGAAGCCAGGAGCCAGGTGCTTCTCCTGGTCTCCCATGTGGGTGCAGGCACCCAAGCACTTGGGCCATCTTCCACTGCCTTTCCGGGCCACAGCAGAGAGCTGGACTGGAAGAGGAGCAGCCAGGACTAGAACCTGGTGCCCATATGGGATGCCGGCGCCACAGGTGGAGGATTAACCAAGTGAGCCACGGTGCTGCCCCCTACCCCATGTCACTTTAAAACCTGAACTCACGCCCATCATTTTCTTTTTTCTTTCTTCTTTTTTTTTTTTTGGACAGGCAGAATGGACAGAGAGAGAAACAGAGAGAAAGGTCTTCCTTTGCCGTTGGCTCACCCTCCAATGGCCGCCGCGGCCGGCATGCTGTGGCCGGCGCACCACACTGATCCGAAGGCAGGAGCCAGCTACTTCTCCTGGTCTCCCATGGGGTGCAGGGCCCAAGTACTTGAGCCATCCTCCACTGCACTCCCTGGCCACAGCAGAGAGCTGGCCTGGAAGAGGGGCAACCGGGACAGAATCCGGCGCCCCGACCGGGACTAGAACCCGGTGTGCCAGCGCCGCAAGGCGGAGGATGAGCCTAGTGAGCCGCGGCGCCGGCCTGCCCATCATTTTCTAAAGTGAGAACTCCTGAGGCTTCTAGAAAAGCTCTGGAGGTTAGTTGTCGTAAAATGCTTCTCTCTCCTAAATCAGAGTCTCCTTCTGCCCCACTGCCTACTTTTTGTAAATTTCAGCTTCACTGTTGGGAACTTCCTTTTTTTTTTTTTTTTTTTTTTTTTTTGGAGCATCCGCCTCAGTTCATGTGTGAGAACTTCCCTGGAGCATGGTCCCTGGGGCGATGGGCATCTCAGAGCCGGGATTCCTCAGGCACTTGGCCCCTCATCCGATGGTTGCACCCAGACGTGACTGAACATGTTTAAAAAAAAAAAATTGTGTCCGTGCTGAGCATACAGGCTTGCTTTTTCTTGTTCTTTCCCCTAAACAACACTCGGCTGATTACCTCTTATTTACTTTACCGTAGACTTGAGAAGGAATCCGGCGATGATTACACAGGATGTAGGTAGTGCTGTGCAACTAGTAGGCCTTTTTATATCATGGGCTTGAATCTGCTGGTTTTGATAGCTTTATGGGGGACCCTGGAATCAGTCCCCACGGATGTGGAGGGACAGCTGTATGGTGGTTGGGTGTTAGTTCTCCCATGTATCTGCTACTAAACAGCAAAGATACTTCTAGTTCATCTTTCTCCTTGAGAACTGTTAGTTCAAAACTTGTGCTCGTGTGCAGAATTGTGCCCTGTGGCTCATGAGCAAGGAGCCCACCTGAGCCCCTACCCCTCCGAGAGGAGGCGGGCACAGAGGCTGCTTACCTCCTGGGTCACGTGAGGGGCTTCTGTCCTATGGGAAAGTCGCTTAGGCGGTGGCTCTTACCCGATGTTAACCATCCTTAATGCAGGTGAAGATGGGCAACTCGGAGAGTCAGTACACCCTGCCGGGATCTAAACACCACAGCCAGCTTCCTGGTGTGAAGCAAAAGCCCTGCTCCCTGAAGATTCGCAGCGTCCACGCGAAAGATGAGAAGTCCTTGCAGGGCTGGGCGCCCGGAGGCAGCGGAGCCGGCTACAAGTCCAGGTCGCTGGCCCGCAGCTGCCTGTCCCACTTCAAGAGCAGTCAGCCTTACTCTGCAGCCAGACTCGCCGGGCCCCCCGGCAAAGGCCCCAGAGGCTCGGGCCACTCCAGGCACCGGGCGAGCGGCCCAGGGCCTGAGCTGCAGGGCCACCCTGCTGTCCTCTTCCCGGAGAACGGCTTCCAGCGCGGGGACCACAAGCCGCCGCCGGATAACCACACGACCTCGAAGGACCGCAACGGGCACCTCCTCAACTGCTACGGCCGACAGGAGAGCATGGGGTCCACGCCGCCGCCGCCGCCGCCGCCGGGAGAGGACCGCAAGAGCCCCAGGGTGCTCATCAAGACGCTGGGCAAGCTGGACGGGTGTCTCCGGGTGGAGTTCCACAGCGGCGGCCACCACGGCGCCGCCGAGCCCGGCGCGCCCGTGCAGCTGCTGAGATACTCGCCCACCCTGAGCCCGGACACCAGGAGGGGCTCGGAGGGTGGCGAGGGTGGCGGCGCCGAGAACTCCCCGCCCAGCCGCCGCCCCTCTCCCACCGACTCCCGCCTGCGCTCCAGCAAAGGCAGCTCGCTGAGCTCCGAGTCGTCCTGGTACGACTCGCCTTGGGGCAACGCGACGGAGCAGAGCGAGGTGGAGGGGTCCCTCCGGACGCCCAGCACGCCCGACCCCAGCCTCGCAGCCTGTTTCCCCCCGCCTGGCGACGCCAAGAAGCCTTTCAGCCAAAGCTGCTCCCTGTCCTCCCTGCGGGACCTGTACAAGGACGCTCCCACGGGGCACCTCGGCCTGCCCGACGAGTATGTGGGTGCGCACGCCAGCCTCAGCAACCGTGTGTCCTTTGCCTCCGACATGGATGTGCCCTCCAGGGTGGGGCGCGGCGAGCCCGGCCAGTACAACTCCTTCACCCTGCCGTGCCGCAAGTCCAAGGCCTTCCCCGAGGACCCGGCCAAGAAGGACACCCTCAAGGCCAGGATGCGCCGGATCAGCGACTGGACCGGGAGCCTCTCGCGGAAGAAGAGGAAACTGCAGGTGAGCCCTGGGGGGACGGAGCCCAGGGAGGGTCCCCCGGAGCCGCGGCCGTCAGGGGGATGGGACACTGCTCAGCCCTGGGGTTTGCTGCTTGTGCTAATCAGGATGTGCACTTTCACCTTTGGCCCTTACCTTTGGCCCTTACCTTTTTAAGTTTTTTTCAAAGATCTGCTTATTTACTCTGGGGCTGCGGTCCCATCTTTTGGATGCAAATGTTAGAGCTGACCTGTGCACTCAGCTTCCTGGAACCAGTCATCCGGCATCTCTCCTGTGCACCCAGGACGCCTGTGGCCTGGCTTACTGTTCCCCATCACGGAGGGGACAGCAGTTGCCGGAGTCAGTCTCGTGGGTTCTTTTCCTTGGTATAGAAATAAAAAGCCAGGAAACAATTTACAAAGAGGCAGAAACTTGTATTAGGAATGAAATTTTTCTTTGATTGGCAAGTGGCAGAGAAGGCGTCTGGTCCGAGAAGAGAGTGGGCGAGTGCCCAAGTGGGACTGGCTTTGAGGAAGTGTCCTGAGTTTTTAAAGCATTACCACTTTTCCCCCAATTGGGTCATTCTGTGGATTGGGGCTTCACATCCTGTATGTTGATTGGCTTGGGGCTCATGGAGATAACGGAGGTCTCCTGGAGACTGTCTCCTTAGGGGCTCAGCCACCCTGGAGGTGTGATTTCAAGGTGCCATAGGATAGCTGGGGTCTCCTAGAACCAGTCTGGACTCCCCAGGGGCTCAGCCCCTTCCCTTGCCGGCTCTGAGAGATTGCACCCACCCTGAAGGTAGATTAAAGCCGCAAGGTCACACCTGCAGCAGAGAAGCTGTCCGTGGGGGAGATGCCGGTTGGCCTGGAGACAGCTTTCCAGCCCCAGCTGACAGCCTGCTTGTGAGGGACATTCTACCTGTGTCTGAAGGGGCCCAGAGACCCCAGCCCTCCGGACGGCCTCCCTTACACACTGCCCTTCTGAACTCATTCCCATCCAGGCTGCTTCCGAGTACACCACTTGCCTCTGTGTGTCCATCACTTTCTCGTAGGTGCAGATGCTCCCTGCCCAACCTGCCCGTGGGCACTGCAGCCCCTTAGCCCCGTCTTGTCCAAAACCAGAACTGTGAGCTACTCATGTGCCTGTAGGCTTGAGAGCAAACTGGTTAGAACCAAAGAATGCAAACTGTAGAGCTAGCGAGACTCCTCATTTTAAAAAGGACACTAAGGGTCAAGGATTTGAGGGGCCCTCCTGAATGACCTGGCTAGTTCTTGCAGAAGTTAAGGGGGTAAAGCTCAGTCTATGAGATCTCAAACACATTCTTTTTCCAGTTAGCTCCATGGCCAAGGTATTGTGCATAGCTACTGGTTTGTAAGATGATCAGCTATTTTGGATTTCTTAAAGAATGACCCAAGAAGACAGCTCTTTAGATTTTGCTTGTGTTCCCACAGTTGATGATCTCTAAACATGAACAAGATGAACTTTTTTGCCTAGTCTGTCACTTCTGCATGATGAGCCTTTGTTTTCCTTTCGCAATTTAAGGTGAAGGTCAGGTTTATATCCTTAAAAGATGTGATCAGTGCATGGGCACGCTTTGGGATAACATCCAATAATAAGGTACCAGATCAGTGAGAATTCTCTCTCTCTCCCTCTCTCCCATATATTCTCTCTCTCCCCCCCGCCCCACACTCTCTCTCTCTCTCTCTCTCTCTCTCTCTCACTCACACACACACACACACACACACACACTTCTGCATGAGAGTAGGCCAGTGGTCAGAAGGTCTTACCATGGTGGGGAGAGATACTGGTTTTGACTTTGGGGGAAAAATTGATTTAAAAAGAGTGGCCTTTTCTAGTTAGATCTTTAAAACCACCCTGTGGTGTTAGAGTCAAAAAGCAGATTTATTTGCAAAAAAAAAAAAAAAAAAAAAAAACCCACAACTGAAAGAGGATATTAGACTAATTGCAATAAATAGATGAATCAGTAAGTAAATAAGTAGAAGAAGCATGTGCCCCTGCAGAATGTGTTTGTGGATGAACTCTTCATGCCAACCTCAGCCACAGTGAGGCTTTCTTCCTGTGCTAGGTCTATTCGCAGTTGTATCCATGGCCTTGGCTATGCCCAGGTAACAAAGGCCTCTCAGATCTCTCGGGCTCAGCACAGCCTCTTTCTCACCTGTGCTGCGTGTTCACCATCAGCTGCGACTCTGGCCTGCACCCTCCGTCCCTAGGACCCTGGGTCTACGGAGCAGGTGCCCTCGAATGTTGTCAGCTGTTGTGGCAGAGGGAGAAGGAGTATTGCGTGTTGGCTTTTAAAGCTTCCACTTTTTTTTTTTTTTTTTAAGATTTATTTATTTGGTCAAGTGACAGAAATGAGGTGGGGGAGGGGTGGTGAGAGGAAAAGGGAGAAATCTTCTATCTGCTGCTTCACTCCCCAGATGCCCACAGCATCTATAGTATGTCTTGGCCAGGCTGAAGCCTGGAGCCAAGAACTGTATCCACATCTCCCACGTGGGTGGCAGGGACCTAGGTACCGGGCCATCTTGCACTGCTTTCCCAGGTGTATCAGCAGGGTGCTAGGGTAGAAGCACAGGCACCAGGACTTGAGCAGGAGCTCCAGGATGGGATGCAGGCATCGCAAGGGGCGGCTTCATCTGCTGTGCCACAACCCTGGCCCCGGAAGTGACACACTGGACTTCTGTGCACATTCGTTGTGCAAAGCAAGGCACGTGGTCATACCTGGCTTCAAGGGAGGGATGAGATGGGAACTGATCCTGCCTCGTGCCCTCAGGGAGAGTCGGAAATGCTAGGTGTGCAGCCTGATTGTTCGGGAGGTTCCTGTAGAGTGGATTCAGGATGCAGAGGCCCTGGGTTTTGGAACCTCTTGATTTTAAACTCTGGCGACTTGAGAATTCACACAGAGCTTTCGTAGGGTGGAGAGAGATGGCTGGAGGAGAAGGGCGAGGCATGGATTCAGTATTTTTTTCTGGAGTGTGAGGAATGCTGGTCACTTTTGTTTTAGTTCCTGATGAGTCCAGAGACATTTTTCCCCACCTCCCAGCTTTATTACAATGTCATTGACAAATGGCAATTGTGTGTGTTTGAAGCATACAGCTTGACGCTTTGCTGAACGTGTGGGTTGTGAAATGATCAGCCCTTGGGCTGGTGTTGCTGCAGCGGGTTAAGCTACCACCTTGATGCTGGCCTCCCATATGAGCCCTGATTCGAGTTATGGCTGCTCCACTTCTGATCCAGCTCCCTGCTGAATGTGCCTGGGAAACCAGTGGGTGATGGCCCAAATACTTGGGCCCCTGCCACCCATGTGGCAGACCCAGATGGAATTCCAGGCTCCTGGCTTTGGCCTGGCACAGCTCTGCCTGTTGCAGCCATTTGGGATGTGAACCAGTGGATGGAAGATCTTTCTCTCTCTTTCTGTCTCTTCACACTGCCTTTCAAATAATAAATAAATTTTTTAAAAAAAGAAGCGGTCACCACGTGAGGCTAGGAAGCATATCGTTCACCTCACGTGGTGCTCTGTGCGTCGGGGGAGCCCTGGAGTTGCACCTTCTTGATGAATTTCAAGCATGCCCTACAGGGTTAGCGACAGTGGACACCTGCCGCACAAAACTCTCCAGGACTCTCTGGACTGCACCGTTGTACCGTTGAGCAGTATCTCCCCACTCCCCACTTCCCAGGCCCCGGCATCCACCATGCCACCCTCTGCTTGCATGCGTGCAGCTATTTGAGGTTCCACAGATGAGACCACGCACGACTGGTCTTCCTGTGGAGTGACTGACGGCTCCTGAGTCACTCCCCATGCTTCCCCCGGTGCCCTGGCTCACTGGGTCACGTTAGCCGTTGTTTCCGATGGTCTGGTTGGGTGAGAATGGGAAGCCAGCATTTGCTTTGTGTACATATGTAACAGGTACCTTAGTTTCAAACACATAACACAGTGGCTAGGAAATCTAGCTGGACATGTTTAAAGATGTTTTATTAAAAAAAAAAAAAAGGCTTTTATTAGCCTGAAGTTAGCCACTGCCACTTGGATTCTATATGAAATCCTTAGAAGTGTGCTAGAGACTGGGCAAAGTCATGCCCATGTATAAGAATCAGTTCTAAGTGCTAAAATGCAAAAAAAAAAAAAAGTAAATAAATAAAAAAATACAATCTTTTACTATTTTTCAAGGAACGAAATTCTTGCTCTGCTACAGCGGATCATTCGAAAGTTCGCATTGTAACTTGAAGGTTGTCTGATGGGAAAGATACCGGGAGTGTTTCCAGGTCATGCTGGGTGTCGGCCTGGTTGTGCCTGTCTCTGGCAGGGTTTTTGCTTGTTTTAAAGCAGCCATTACGGCTTCTTCAAGTTATCAGGGCCAATTGCAGTGAGTCAGAGCTGAGATAAAGGTAATACTAGCCAAATGCCAAGTACTCTTCACTTCTGAGCTTTTTTTGAAGAGTGGCAAAGTGATACTTAAAAAAAAACTCCAAGCGTTGAAGTTTCCTGGCCAGGTGACTCACAGCAGCTGTTTATTTGCTGTGTTCCCCTTAACGTGTATAAATAAATCTGCCTCCAGGGAGAGGGAAAGATACTGTTTTCATTAGTAATAGCTCTGTTTGGGGTTCAGTGGCCGATAGCTCCTGGGTATTTGGAAGTCTGTTCAGTCACAGGATGGTTTTCCTGCAAAGACAAACAGCGTGCGATTGCAGCTTGATTTCTGGATGAAATTTCTGAGAAGAGAACTTGTCCACACCGTGGAATGTTCAAAATGAGGCCTTTAGTCGATTATCTTTGGGCCAGGTATTCCTCATTAGAAAAGTGTTATTCACTGAAGGGCAGAGAGGAGAGAGAGATTTTCCACCTGCTGGTTTATTCTCCACATGCTACTGTGGCCAGGGCTGGGCCAGGCTGAAATCCAGAGCCAGGGACTTCCTCCTGGTCTGCTACGTGGGTAACAGGGACCCAAGTACATGGACCATCCCTGCTGCCTCTCAGGGTGCATATTAGCAGGAAGCTGGAATCAGGAACTGGGAATTGAACCCAAGCCCTCCTCTGTGGCATGCTGGTGGTCCCAAGTGTGCTCTTAACCACTGGCCCACGTGCCCACCCCTCATTTTTATTTTAGCGCATAAAGAAATAGAGCTGAAAGCTCACTAGGAGCTGAGTGGACTTGAGTGTGTGTCGCCCCTTTCTGCAGAGTTACTGTCATCTGAAATGTCCATGCCTTTCAAGCCAGAAGTTAAACTCTCCACTAAAAAATTTAGTCGTTGCTGTTTTACACCAAAACAGCCTGTTTTTGTTTTTATGATGATTAGACTTTGAAGAAACATATTTATGTTTTCAGGTCTGTATGGTCAGCTCAGTGTTCACTGTGTCCAGTCCTAACAGGAAGCAACAGTCATCATGAAAAGAATGAATTTACTTATACCTGCATATGTTTAATTTTATGCTGGGTGAAAATTTAAAGTTAAGGATCATGACGTTTATTTATTTATTTTTATTTATTTATTTATTTGCGAGGTAGAGTTACAGACAGTGAGAGGGAGAGACGGAGAGAAAGGCCTTCCTTCTATTGGTTCACTCCCAAGATGGCTGCAACGGTCGGAGCTGTGCCAATCTGAAGCCAGGAGCCAGGTGCTTCTTTCTGGTCTCCCATGCAAGTGCAGGGACCCAAGCACTTGGGCCATCTTCTACTGCTTTCCCAGCCCACAGCAGAGAGCTGGACTGGCAGAGGAGCAGCCGGGACTTGAACCGGCACTCATATGGGATGCCGGTGCCACAGGCAGAGGATTAACCAAGTGAGCCATGGCACCGGCCCCAGGATCGGGTTTTTGATATCCCCAGAGAATGAAATGAAGTAGCTACTCAAACAGAAGGGTATGAATGAATGAGTATATTCTACTCATGAAAGAAATTCCCAAATTAAATTTTAAAAATACTGTGAAAAAAAAATCTGCTGTTACCCCCAGCATCCTCCATGGCTAAGGAACCCTGGGTGTGTGGTTTTTGCTATGTGAGCCAGGAGAGTCAGGTGCTAGGCATTCCAAAGTCCACCTGTCCAGAGCTAGGGGCTTGCCAGGAGCTGGGCCTGGGTTTTCCATGTGTCTTCAATAGACAATTATCGGTTAACTTCTTGATGCTGCATCTAGGCTAGATTTAGGGCAGCTGGTGACATTTTAAAAAACATTTGAAAGATTCTTTATATTTTTTAAAAAATGCACATTTACTTGAAAGATTATTTATATTTTTAAGAAATACTCATTTATTGGAAAGATTATCTATGTATCCGTCTGTCAATCCATCCACCGGTTCTCTCCCCACAGCAGCCAGGGTTGGGCCGGGCCACTTGATTGAAGTCAGGAACTGGGACCTCAGTCTGGATCTCCCATGTGGGTGGCAGGAACCCAACTACTTGAGCCATCACCATCACCTAGCAAAAAGCTGGAATTGGGAGCAGAAGCCAGGGTTCAAACGCAGGCACTCCCATATGGGATGAGGGTGTTACAACCACCAGTTTTACATCTGTGCTGTGTTGAGGGAGGCAGACTCCAGATGTCCGTAGCCTCTGTCTGACAGGTGTTGGGTTGCGTTGCTTGCAGGAGCCGAGGTCCAAGGAGGGCAGTGACTGCTTTGACAGCCGCTCGGAGGGACTGAATGCAGACGCGCAGTGGCCCTTCCAGGCGTCGGCCTTGCTGTGGTCAGGGGGCTCGGCTCAGGTCCTGTCTCAGAGGAGCGAGTCCACGCACGCGGTCGGCAGCGATCCCCTCCGGCAGAACATCTACGAGAACTTCATGCGGGAACTGGAAATGAGCAGGGCCAACACGGAAAACGTGGAGACGTCTACAGAGACGGCCGAGTCCAGCAGCGAGTCGCTGAGCTCGCTGGAGCAGCTGGACTTGCTCTTTGAGAAGGAGCAGGGCGTGATCCGCAAAGCCGGGTGGCTCTTCTTCAAGCCTCTCGTCACTCTGCAGAAGGAAAGGAAGCTGGAGCTGGTGGCTCGCCGGAAGTGGAAACAGTACTGGGTAACCCTTAAGGGTAAGTGCATTATCAGCTCGCTCAGGGCTCCTGGCCGTTGTCGGCTGTCTGCTCTTGCTCTTCTCCCTCTCAGAAAATGCCAGCAAGCCCAGCACTGATTTACATGAATGGGAAGGGGTTTTGTTGGGAGGCTGCCTTAAGGGTCCAGGTTCCGTCTCCAGTGCACAGAAGAACTTGAAGATGAGATGTAAGGTTAGCAGAGGAATAAGGTGTATTAGGCAAGCAAAAATAAACACTCAGAGGGGACGCAGCATGTTCCAGAGTGAGCTGCACCCCATGAGGTTCAGGGTCAGCCTTTTATGTGATCTGGACGTATAAGGGGTGGTGCTTTGGGTGGAGTTTTCCAGAGAAGGGAGGCGATTTGCAGGAGTTTGGTGACTGCCCACTTTCTGGCATTTTTAGGAAGTCTCAGAAGTGTTAGGACCTCGGTGCACAGTGGGAGTTGGGGTGTCAGCCATGGTCTTTTTAGTCTGGTGATATTATGATAGGCTGCAGGTCTTCAGGGGGACACAGCAGCCACTTTGAATATTTTTTTCAGGCACTGGTTCTGGGTGCAGGCTTTGCTGCAGTACCAATTTGGGGTTGCTGGTTATAGGAGGAGTTTTAGAGGAAACCCCTGGGAGAGATGTGGTGACGTATTTCTTCTGACTTTTTCCTCTGATCTCTATCTCCTTACCCATAACAATTTGATGCAGAATCTTATATCTTTAAATCATACTTAATCTGCTTTTTAAAAAAATTATTTTTAAAAAACTGTATTATTTGTTTGAGAGGCAGAGCAAAAGTGAGATCTTCCATCTATTGGTTCATTCTCTAAACATTTCAAACAGCTGGGGTTGGCCTTGGGCCAAAACCAGGAACCAGGAACTCAGTTTGGGTTTCCTATGACTTGGCAGGGACCCAAGCGCTTGAGCCATCACCTGCTGTGCATTAGCCAAAAAACCGAAACCCAGGCACTCTGCTGTGGGATGTGGGTGTTGCCGAGTCAGACATCTGCCCCATCCAGAATCTTGGTCTTTTAAAAAGGATTTATTTATTTGAAAGGCAGAGTGACAGAGAGGGAGACACAGAGAGACACCTTCCATTTTCTGGTTTACTCCCCAAATTCCTGCAACATCCAGGACTGAGCCAAGCCAAAGCTAGGAGGCAAGAGCTCCCTTGGGGGCTTCCACATGGGTGGCAGGCACCCAGATTTTTGGGCCATCATCTTCTGCCTTTCCAGGCAGATTAGCAGCGAGCCAGATCAGAAGTAGAGAGTGGGGACTTGAACTGGTGCTCTGGTATGGGATCTTAACATCCTAGCACCGCAAGCAGTGGCTTAACCCATTGGGTCACCCCTACACAGAATCTTAAGGCTTGCTTTACTGCAAGTACTTTGCCAAACCTGCAAAATCTGGTTGGATTACTATTCATTTATATTATTCAGTGTAATAAATGATGCAATCTAACAGTTACTGCTTGCTACGTTGTAGGTATTCCTATACTAATCTTTGGCACTTTCCCTGCATCTGGGAGAAACAACCCCAGATAAGTGCCCAAAGGCGGTTTGGTCGTACACAGTGCGGACTTTGCATTTCACATTCTGTGCATGCTCAGAACTCCACAGGCCGGCGCCGCAGCTCACTAGGCTAATCCTCCGCCTAGCGGCGCCGGCACACCGGGTTCTAGTCCCGGTCGGGGCGCTGGATTCTGTCCCGGTTGCCCCTCTTCCAGGCCAGCTCTCTGCTGTGGCCAGGGAGTGCAGTGGAGGATGGCCCAAGTGCTTGGGCCCTGCACCCCATGGGAGACCAGGAGAAGCACCTGGCTCCTGGCTCCTGCCATCGGATCAGCGCGGTGCGCCGGCCGCAGCGCGCCGGCCGCGGCGGCCATTGGAGGGTGAACCAACGGCAAAAGGAAGACCTTTCTCTCTCTCTCTCTCTCTCACTGTCCACTCTGCCTGTCAAAATAAAAAAAAAAAAAAAGAACTCCACAGAGTGCAGCGGAGCCGCCCATTTGGTGACTGGTTTGTGTCATCCCACTGTTATGAACCAAGAAAATCTGCACCAACAAGCCCAGCTTTCTTCTTTTTTTGATTTATTTATTATTTGAGAGGCAGAGTTACAGTGAGAGAGAGAGAGGTCTTGCATCTGCTGGTTCACTCCCTAAATGGTTTCAGAGGGCAGAGCTGGGCTGATACAAAACCAGGAGCTTCTTCTGGGTCTCCCATGTGGGTGCAGGGGCCCAAGGACTTGGGCCATCTTCTACTGCTTTCCCAGGCCATAGCAGAGAGCTGGATCAGAAGGGGAATGGCCGGGACTCGAACTGGCACCCATATGGGATGCTGGCACTGCAGGCAGAGGCTTTACCTGCTGCACCACAGCGTGGACCTCTCTTTTTAATGTAATGGAAATAGAAATAAGCCTTCATTTTGTTAAAGATAGCAAAAGTTTCTTATAAGCATTGCTACATAAAAATTGCCTTGCTCGTGGGGAATGTATAGATTAGAAGAAGTCTGAGTATCCTGGAAGAAGCAAGAAGCTCTGAATCAGTGCAGTGTGGGTTGATTCATAGGGAGCAGGGAGATAGGTCCGCAGTCCCGGCATCACCTGCACCGCCCACCTGTGACTCTGGTCAGGAATGTGACCCTGCAAACCAGGAATCCCATTGGGTCTCCCCTGCTGGTGGCAGGAGCCTGAGCGCTTGAACCATCACTTGCTGCTTTCCCAGGCCCATTAGCAGGGAGCTGGGTCAGAAGTGGAGCAGCCCGGACTCAGAACTGGGGCTCTCAGGGGATGCCAGTGGCGTGTGCAGTGGCTTAACCTGCTACGCTATAACACAGATTCCCTACAGGCCTCTTTTCCTCCTCTGGATTTGGATTCTTTTTTCTTTTCTTTTTTTTTTTCTTTTGTTCTTAGTTTTTTTTGGCCCAAGGACCTGGGCCATCTTCCACTGCCTTCCCGGGCCACAGCAGAGAGCTGGGCTGGAAGAGGAGCAGCCAGGATTAGAACCGGCACCCACATGGGATGCTGGTGCTGTAGGCGGAGGATTAACCAAGTGAGCTATGGTGCTGGCCCCCTGGATTTGGGTTCTTGTGGTGATCTGGGGCTGGAGAGACAGGTTTTCGCAGGGCTGGCTGCGGAGATTGGCAGTCATAGGTTGGAATCACAGGTTGAATCTAGCAAGTTAAAAATTTGGAGGGGGTAAGAAAAGTGATGCGTTAGGGCTTAAAAGTCAAATCACTGCCTACGGAGGGGGCGATGCAGCTGCCGCGTGCTGTAATTGAGAGTGATTTGGGGTTTGGTTTGCAAGCCAATCAGTGTGAGTTCGCAAAGTGATGTGGCTGAACTCAAAGTACGTGTAATTTACAAGAGAAGCTGGGATCTGCACTGCATCATTCGGGCTGCCCTGGCGTCTGCTAGAGCCCGGTGTTCCCCACTTGTGGGTGGGAAATGATTCTCAGAAAGGCCCTGCCTAAAATCTCCCTACCTGGAGAGGAGAGTGAGCGTGCGTCCTGGGGCAGAGCAGCTGGAATTGTTTGTGAATCCTCTGGGGCTGCCGTCTCCCTGCCTGATGTCCCGAATGGGTGCACTTTACTCCCCGTGTGTCATGCATTATTTTTTTCTTTAATGTAAAGCTGATGCTTTGGAGAGTTCTCCCCTGTCTGTGGCTTCGGGCCCCTCTCCTGCCCCCGCCTTGTACTCCCCCACAGTAGTGCGGGCTGCCTCTGTGATGTGTGTGACCACATCCCACCCGGAAAGGAGGGCGAAGGCAACCCGGAGACGTGGAGCCACCGCCTGGAGGTTGTTGAGGATCCGGGAGTGCTGATAAGACCGGGGCTGAGAATGTACAAGAGACACCGGATTTATTGTGGATCTGTCCGGGTTAGGATGGGACTCGCAGATACAGGGCAGGCGGATTCTACCGAAGCTGGAGCTGTGGGCGAGTGGGAAGGCACCAGCTTCCCGACTTGCCCACCACTGACAACAGTCATGCAGCCTCCGTGTTGGAGGCTCCTTGGGGACCAGGTAGCCTTTAGGAGCCGTGAGAGCTGATGGCTGGAGGGGAGCCTAGAACTCCTGGCTGCCGACTTCAGGGGCGGAGATGGGCCTGAGCTTCCCTCACCGTTGCGGGCCTGTGTCCTGTCTGTGCCGTGCTCTCTTGCTGCTTGCTTGAAAAACACGTCAAGAGCCAGGCTGAAGCCTGCTTTGTGTTACCAAACACACATTCCTCTGTTTCCTACAGCCGAGGTGCGGTGCGTGATAAAGATGTTTTATTTTTCCCAGCATAACCTTTTCCACGGGGCTTTCTATACCTCCTTCCTCTGGGAATTCAGTATATTGAGTGCCACTTTCTTGGCTTAAGTCCCAAATTATAATGTTGAAGCCTACTTGTTTAATCTTGGTTAATGTATGTGTATCTTTGTGTGTGCATACCCACACATAATGAGTTAAGCCAAATTCTAAAATTATCCTCAAAATACGGATGTCAGTGAGTTGGAAGGCGTTTGCTGGGGTGAGCAGTTCTCAGCTAACCCTCTGGTTACCTGCCTGCATAGAGTCTGTAGGTGGGTGAAGGGCGCTGGTGTCTTTTACGGGTTGGAGGATGCAGGGTGTTTTCCCCCAAGAGCCATTCTGCCCCTCCCCCCACCCCCCGTGTCTTTTTTCCAGGGAGGGGACTTTCGTGCAGTTCCCAGGGGACTTCCTGGGCTGAACAGTTGGTAATGCCACTAAAGATAACCCTCAATGTAACCCCCAGATTGACCTCACAGTGTCAGGGGCGGCACATAGCGTCAGAAGACCTTGGAGTTGATAACTCTTCCTGCATGTGGGCCAGAGCGGGGAGTGGAGGGGAAGTGTGGACCCAGAGGGAGGCAGCAGAGATGGGGCTGAAGGGGTCCAGTGTTAGTCGCTTTCCTGGTGAGTCTGCCGCTGATGGGACCCCTTTGGCTCTTGGCTTCCCTTGCTGTTACTATCCTTCTCTCTCTGCTGCTGTGGCAAGAACATTCCCTGTGATCCTTCCGGGCTGACAACAATGGCCAGAGGAAAATGGGGCTGATGGCTCTAGCTCTGGTGTGGGTAGCAGGGGACTTTGTGGGTACCCGTCAGCCCCTTTGCATCAGCCCCCATGCCCCCTTTGAGATGCAGAGTTTCTTTTTTTTTTTTTTTAATTTTTTTTTATTTATTTTTTGACAGGCAGAGTGGACAGTGAGAGAGAGAGACAGAGAGAAAGGTCTTCCTTTTGCCATTGGTTCACCCTCCAATGGCTGCCGCGGCTGGCGCGCTGCGGCCAGCGCACCACGCTGATCCGATGGCAGGAGCCAGGTGCTTCTCCTGGTCTCCCATGGGGTGCAGGGCCCAAGCACTTGGGCCATCCTCCACTGCACTCCCAGGCCACAGCAGAGAGCTGGCCTGGAAGAGGGGCAACCGGGAAAGAATCCGGCGCCCCGACCGGGACTAGAACCCAGTGTGCCGGTGCCGCAAGGTGGAGGATTAGCCTAGTGAGCCACGGCGCCGGCCACTTTTTTTTTTTTTTAAACATTTTTTTTTTATTTTTATTTGAAACAGTTACAGAGAGAGAGAGAGGTCTTCCATCCACTGGTTCACTCCCCAAATGACCGCAACAGCCAGAGTTGAGCTGATCTGAAGCCAGGAGCCAGGAGCTTTTTCCTGGTCTCCCATGTGGGTGCAGGGACCCAAGGACTTGGGCCGTCTTCTACTGCTTCCCCAGGCCATAGCTGAGAGCTGGATCGGAAGTGGAGCAGCTGGGACTCGAACTGGCGCCCATATGGGATGTCAGCACTGCAGGCCAGACTTTAACCCACTGCACCTCAGCACCGGCCCCCAGAGTTTCTTTAAAAGTTAAACTGGATGCAATAATTAGGGTTGATTTCCTCTTCTTTAAATCTGAGGGCCACGCAGTTCTGCATGGAACTTTACACCCTGGCCTGGCTCTAACATGAAATGCCCTTGTGTGGCTTTCATTCTCACCTTGCGCCTTCTGCTGTGTATGGGATGTTAGGTTTGGCAACATCTTGGCATCTGCCCAAGGCTCATACTCATTTCCTCTAGATGAAATGATTCACACCATGGCCATTGGGAGCACAGTGTTAGGGAAACCAGGATGCAAACATGGACCCATTGGAAAGAATGTGGACTCGGGTGTGGCTGGCATGGCCCTGTCACCTTTGCCCTGGTCCTCGGGCCCCAGGTTGTGTTGGGCTTACGGTTCCTGATTGCATCCTGGGCTGGAGGAGCAGACAGACTCAGACCTGCCAGAAGCAGCGCTGGCCAGAAACCTCTTGCTGCTTTCTCTGTCTGTTTGAGTTCTCTCAGCCTCTTGGTTCAGGGGAGTTTTATTCGTGGGGAGGGAAGATTGCTGGGTGCTTCCTGAGATCATAAAGGGCTCCTTGCAGGGAGAATGGATGAGTGGGGCTGACATCTTTCCCTGCTGGTTTCTAGGCTGCACCGGGGCCCATTACATGGACTGACTTGTTCATAGTCAGGCTTGCAGTTAAAGGAAGTAATGAAACCGCAAAAGTGACTCAGTTTTTAAAACACTTAGACTTTAGGAATGAGTGCATGTAACTCTATGGATAAAATACTGCATTCCTCCATAAGGCTGGTGCTTCCCTATTGTAATTATGAAAGGTAACTAAAGGGAGGGAATCGTGGTGCAGGGGGTTAAACCGCTGCTTTTGCTGCCCACATCCAATATTGCAGCACCAATTTGAGTCCTGGCTTCTCTTCCAATCCAGCTCTCTGCCTATGTGCCCTAGGAGGCAGCAGATAAAGGTCAAATACTTGGGTCCCTGCCACCCATAAGCAAGACTCTTATCAGAGTTCTATGTTCCTGGCTTTTGCCTGGCCCTGCCCTGGCTTTTGAAGCTTTTTGGGGAGTGAATCAGCAAATGGATAATCTCTCTCTCTCTTCCTCCTCTCTCTCTCTCTCTTTCTTCTCTTTCTCTCTCTCTCTTTCTCTCTACTTTCAAATTAATAAAATCTTTATAAGAAAGATATTTTCAGAACGTACAGTTGGTGACCATGTCATTCATATTTAGTTGGCAAATGAGAAGTGTTCAAAAATGTTTATTGGATAAAGGTTTGAAGGGTTAGTGAAGATAAACAAGAGAACAGACATTTGAGCATTTTCGAAGCATTGATTTGCTTTGAAAAATTATAATTATGAGGCATTCCTATGTAATTATGAAAGCAGACTGTATCCTACCTGTGTCCTTATTAGGAGAAAATTGGGTCCTGAGTAGTATTAAAAGTGCCGTCATATTTAGCGTCATTTTGCTCCCTTAGTCTCAGCAGGATTGTGGTAATGTTTCCATCAGTGCGGGATAAAGTGAAGTTGCTGTACACAGCGCTGGAGGACCAGCTGAGGGCTTGCCCGTAGAGGGCCGTCCCTGGGTGTGCTTGTCTGCTTACTGCAGACTGCGGGTGTGGCTGATGACTACGGGAATTTCTGCAGCGCCCGCCTTTACAGTCCCCAGGGAAAGCAGTGCTGTGCTTAAGGATGAGCGCAGTGGGGCCGGAGGCCTGGGTTCACGTCCCTGCTCCTCCGTGGTCCACCTGTGGGGCCTGTGCAGTGGCTCCCACCCAGGATTCTCCCTGCTGGAGTGGAGTAAATAACCCTGCCCCTGCCTCAGGCTGCGGCGGGGAGGAAGAGAGCAGGATCCTTCCACGAGCTAAACAACACGTGCTTGGCCTCGTAGTTACTGATATTAGTCCACGAAAATATCTGCTTTTCGCTTGAGTTCTTGTTAATACAACCCGGCCTGCTTCGGATGCCAGCCTCTGCCTGCTCTGTGTTTGGGTTCAGTGATTGTCTCGTGTGGGTCGGGGGTTCCTCGGCGTGTGTCAGTTACCTTCTCACATTCTTTGGCTGCTCTTCCGCAGGCTGCACGCTGCTGTTTTATGAGACCTACGGCAAGAACTCGGCGGATCAGACCAGCGCCCCGCGGTGCGCGCTGCTTGCGGAAGACAGCATAGTGCAGTCTGTGCCGGAGCACCCCAAGAAGGAAAACGTGTTCTGCCTCAGCAACTCCTTTGGGGACGTCTACCTTTTCCAGGTATGGCCCCGGCACCTGGTCCGTGGAGGGCTGGGCTGCTGACTTGTGTACTGTCGGGATGAGAAGGAGCAGAGTTCAAAGGAAAACTTAGAAACGACAAAGAGTAAGCAGCTGGGCTTTGGATTTGGGCATAAGCCAGAGACCTTGGCCTTGTCCATCTGCCAAGTGCAGTGGGGTCATCACAGACCCGGTGGTGCATACAGCAGGCATCTCTCAGAGGCCCACAGAGTGCCAAACCGTGGCCCCTCAGCTGCTCTTCAGAAGACAAAGAGAAAACATTTACTTTCTGTGCTGGGGTGGGTCAGGTGAGTGCAGTGTCCGAGAGGCTGCTGGGCTGGGAGCTTTTTCAGTGAAGCCCGGACAGTCTGGGCAGGAGGGGCTGAGGCTCCTCCCGAGGACCGCACGGAAGACAGGAAGAGGCTTTTCAGGAAAACCCCGATACGTGTGCTGCGACGTCTCCCCAGTGAGCTGCTCTTGGGGTGTTAAAATTCAGGGTATCTGCTGCTAGGAATTTTTTTTTTTTTTTTTTGACAGGCAGAGTGGACAGTGAGAGAGAGACAGAGAGAAAGGTCTTCCTTTTGCTGTTGGTTCACCCTCCAATGGCCGCTGTGGCCGGCGCACCACGCTGATCCGAAGCCAGGAGCCAGGTGCTTCTCCTGGTCTCCCATGGGGTGCAGGGCCCAAGCACTTGGGCCATCCTCCACTGCACTCCCTGGCCACAGCAGAGAGCTGGCCTGGAAGAGGGGCAACCGGGACAGAATCTGGCGCCCCAACCAGGACTAGAACCCGGTGTGCCGGCACCGCTAGGTGGAGGATTAGCCTAGTGAGCCGCGGCGCCAGCCTGCTCCTAGGAATTTTAAGCAACTTTGTAGCAAATGGAAAGTTTCGGCACCTGTGGTGCTGAGTGATGAGTCCTGGTGTCTCAGTGGCTTTGAATTCTGGCGCTGTTGCTGAATACAGGCATCATGGCGCACATAACTGAGTTTCTCCATGCTTCGACCCTTCAGTGGGATCCGACGGTTTACAGGATTGCTGCAAGGGTAAATAATATAATCCGTCTATGCTAAATGCTACAGAATTCTATTTCAAATGAACTCAAAGGAGGTGGAAGTAAAGCGAGCTTCTTAGATGACCCCTAATCCAAGCCCAGTGCCTCGCCGGTAACCTTGATAGTTGGCTGCATCTGGCCGAAAGGGTCATGGACAGCCTCATGTGTCCTGGGTTTGGATCTCTGATCAAGTGGTCTCGAATGTCCTCAGCAGCCCTGCAGAACAGATGTTCTCCAGGCTGACTTTGTGATTCTAGAATTCTCTGCCGTGCTGTCTGCAACAGGCTTTCCCGGGACCAGCTCCAGGTAAACGTTTGTTCAGCCTCCTGCTGTCCCAGACAGACTCCACGTCCAGGAGTTAGATGCTGAGGTCTGATTTTCCTTCTTTCTCTCGCACTCTCTTTTTAAAAGATTTATTTATTTATTATTTGAAAGGCAGAGTTACAGGAGGCAGGGAGAGATAGAGAGGTCTTCCATCAGCTGGTTCACTTCCCAAATGGCTGCCATGGCTGGAACTGGACCAGGTCGAAGCTAGGAGCCAGCAGCTTCATCCGGGTCTCCCATGTGGATGGGACCAGGGCCATCTGCTGCTGCTTTCCCAGGTGCATTAGCGGGGAGCTGGATCAGAAGTGGAGCAGCCAGGGCATGAACTGGCACCCATTTGGAATGCTGGCGTCATAGACCTCAGCTTATCCTGCTGCGCTACAGCGCCTGCCCTGGTTTTCCTTCTCTTAATAGACAGGCTAAGAATGTGCATGATATTCAAAGAAAATAATGAGTTGGTGTTAATCCGGGTTGCAGGGAAGAAAAACATCTTAGATTAGATCTGTGTGAACTTCTGAGGGGCAAGTATGAAATGAACAATTTTTTTAAAGATTTATTTTTTATTTATTTGAAAGGCAGAGTTACAGAGACAGGAGGAGAGACAGAGAGAGAGATTTCTTCTGTTTGGCTCACTTCCCAAATGGCCACAACAGCCTGGGCTGGGCTGAGCCAAAGGCGGGAACCAATAACTCCATCCAGGTCTTCCATGTGGGTGACGGTTACCCATACTTGGCGCATCATCTGCCGCCTCCCAGGTGCAGTAGCAGGAAGCTAGATCTCAAGCAGAGGTGGGACTTGGTTCCAGGCACTCTGATATGGGATGTGGGCTCCCAAGTGCTGGCTTACCCACCGTGCTACAGCACCCAACCCCTAAAACATTTTTCTTTCATGAAAATATATTGTATGATCATCTGTGCCTGTCCGTACTGAAGACAGAAAGAAAAACCATCCCATGTACTCAATATTTCAAAGACAATTACTTTAATGGTACTGTATACTCCTCCAATATTCTTTTATTGGTATTTTTCATAATTGAGATCATTAGTGTAGATGTAATTTACAACCAGCTTTCAAATGTAGTCCCAGTATTTTCTCATTCTGTTAAAAGTCTGCAGATGAGCAGCTGGATTCAGCCCGGTTTTCTTGTCCCTGCCCTTGTTCTTGGCTGCTCTCATCCTTCTACTTTTCCTCCCTGTTATCTTCAGGGCCCCATGATTCCTCGTGCTCTTGCTTGATGTTTCCTGAGAGCCCTGAGTCTGTGTGGAGTGGTTGCAGGGTTTTGAGATTCCGCTGTTTTCTGGAAGCTCAGGTGCTTCTTGGGTTTCACATCTCAAAACCCAGCCTGCTGCTTCAGAGCGCACGTTTGAGGTAAGAACAATTTCACATGCTCCTTCTCCCTGCTCTGTGTTTAGGCCACCAGCCAGACAGATCTGGAGAACTGGGTCACTGCCATCCATTCTGCTTGTGCATCCCTTTTTGCAAAGAAGCACGGGAAAGAAGACACAGTGCGACTCCTCAAGAGCCAGACCAAAAGCCTGCTGCAGAAGATCGACATGGACAGCAAGATGCGGAAGATGGCGGAGCTGCAGCTGTCCGTGGTGAGAGACCCAAAGAACAGGAAGGCCATTGAGAACCAGGTACTGTTTGTTTACCCTGTATTTTCTTTTTGTTAAGAAAAGATTAATGTATTATTTATTTTGAAAGATTTACAGAGAGAGGGGGCAACACAGAGACAGAGAGAGAGAGAGATACTCTTCCATCTGCTGGTTCACTCTCCAGGTGGCTGCAGCAGCCAGCACTGGACCAGGCTGAAGCCAGGAGCTTTATCCAGGTCGCCCACGTGGGTGGCAGGGGACCAAGCACGTGGGCCATCTTCTGCTGCTTCTCCCAGGCCGTCAACAGGGAGTTGGGTTGGAAATGGGGCAGCTGGGACAAGAACCGACGTCCATATGGGAAGCCAGCATCTTTCCCTGCTATGCCCCAGTGCCAGCCCTTGTTTCTACCGCAGCTCATGGCGCTCTCACAGCAACGCAATGCAGACTTACATTGTGCGAGGCTTCCACACATGCTGGGGAATAGTTCCTCTGTTTGTCGTTTCGAGTCCTTCCCGGCTGTGCCTTTGGGACGGGAGATCCACTGTGCTTCTGAGCTGGGTGCTTAATCAGGAACTGATTTCGTTGTGGCTCACAATTTGGAGGGCTGAGGGACCAGAGGGCATTTTGCTGACTCTGGCGAGGGCACCCTGGCTACACCACATGATGTGGGTGGAGGATGTGTGAGGGCGATCACAGGTGTGGTGGGCAGTGACAGTGATTCAGGGGACATGCTTGCTCCTTTATAGCGAGTCACTCTCACCTAAGCAGCTCCGATTAGGCCCCACCTCTTAAAGGTCTCACTATCTTTTTTTTTTTTTAAGATTATTTATTTACTTGAAAGAGTTACGCAGAGAGAGAAGGAGAGGCAGAGAGAGAGAGAGAGAGGTCTTCCATCTGCTGGTTCACTCCCCAAGTGGCTGCAATAGCCAGAGCTATGCCAATCCGGAGCCAGGAGCTTCTTCCGGGTCTCCCATGTTCACCACCTCTTAATATTGTCATCCGGAGGTCCAAGCTTCCAACTTATCATCTTTGGGGACATACTCTAATCCTGTCCAAGCCACAGCACTGATTCTTGCATGCTTTGTGTGGGGAGCAACTCGGACTAGACTAAGTTACTGGAATTAAGACTTATTCTATGCATCTGCTCTCCCACAATATGGCGCTGAGAAGGGAGAAACAGCTTCTACACAGCTGCCTCCAGTTCAACCAATAAACTGTAGGACCTGCTCCTGATTGGAGGAGAGCAGTGTACTCGGCGTGTGGGTAGCAGAGTTGGGATTGGTGGAAGAGGACTATAAAGGAGGAGAGAGACAACATGCACCAGGAACATCTAAGGGGAACATCTGAGGGAACACCTGTGCAGCCCCCGAGAGAGCCGGCCGGCGGTGTGCCGCTCCCCTGCGGAAGTGGGGAAAGTGGCCAGGGGGAACCGCCCTTCCACAGAGGTGTAAGGGACGGTAGCCAACCCGGGAAGAACCAGCAGCAAACCCGGGGAGGGCCGAGCAGACAAAAGAACAACGCAGGGTCCTGTGTCGTTCCTCCGCAAAGAGGGGGAGCGACACTTTGCTCTTTGCTGAGCAAAAACCATGTCAATAAAACTACTTTGGAGATTAGGTGTACAGAACTCTAATGCCAAATGTGACTTTGGAAAGAATTGTTTGGTATACCAGCTATTCCAGTGTCCATGGATTCCAAAAACCCAATCATGGACGACCAGGAAATGCTTTGTGGGGTCTAGCTTCTCGCTCATGTACTAAGTAAGTAGGAAGCTCCCATTCTGTGTGCATTTTGGAGAAAGGGATGCAGACTTTTACTTTTCATGCTCCTGTGCCCAAACAACCTGACCAGCTTGGGCGAGCGTTCGTGGGAGCTCTGGCATCCCTCTGTAGGTCGGATCCCTGGCCTGGAGAGCTGCACTGCGCAGTTTATTGGGCGTGCTCTCGTGCTCTCGGGAACAACACCAGCAAGGAAGTGAAGAGCAGGACCGGGAGGACCACGTGGAGTTGTGACGCAGGTGATCTCCCAGGAAGCCCTGGAGCTGCTGGGGTCAAGCAAGGGGGCCAGGCCTCGTGCCCTCCCGTCAGTGGCTCCCCGCAGCTTCCCTCGGTGGGGATCAGTTCCTGAGTGGGAGCACTGGTGCTCCTGGCGGCCGTGGGGAAGGATGATCCTGAAAGGAGGGTGCACTACAGTGCCCACGACAGTTCCCTCCAGATGTACTTGTCCAGTGATTTGGGAAACTGAGTGAAGAATTGGGTGGAAATGGGGTATTGGGTTTTTTTTTAATTCTTGACACATTATTACAGAGAGAGAAGATTTTTAAAAAATCATAGCAACATTTTGAAAAGAAGTTTTACCTACAATTTTTAAAAATTATTTATTTATTTATTTGGAAGTCAGAGTTACACACAGAGAGAAGGAGAGGCAGAGAGAGAGAGAGAGGTCTTCCATCCTCTGGTTCACCCCCAATTGGCCACGATGGCTGGAGTTGTGCTGATCTGAAGCCAGGAGATTTCTCTGGGTCTCCCTTGTGGGTGCAGGGGCCCAAAGACTTGGGCCATCTTCTACTGCTTTCCCAGGCCATAGCAGAGAGCTGGATCAGAAGTGGAGCAGCCGGGACTCGAACCACTTCCCATATGGGATGCTGGTGCTGCAAGTGGTGGCTTTATCTGCTACGCCATAGTGCCAGCCCCTACCTACAGTTTTTTATTTAAATCACGTGATATGAGTCACCCATTATGTCTGAATGTTTAGAATTGTTTTTCATCATATGTATTTGAAAAACTTAGCATGGCTAGAAAGAAACTTTTGGCTGTAAATAGGAGAGTGAGCAAAGGTGTGCATTCAAATGCTGTATTTGTGATAAAGCAAGGGTTTGGAATGCATCATTGATTGTAGCGAGATAGGCAAATCATCCCTGTCTCCGCCCCCCTCCTGCCCCTCATCAAGTACTTCTGACTGATGTACAGTGCAGGAGGAGCTTCTGGCCATACCCTTGTTACCTGTTTGCTTCACCTGTTCTCACGTCCTTCTTGTCTTTCTCCTTTCTGCTTAGTTTCCCATCTGCAGGTATTGCCATACCTAACAGATGCATCAGGCTTTAAGAAACAAAAATAATGATAAAATGTAAATGTATACTTTAGTTAGAGAGCAAGGCTTATGAATGTGACCCTGGAGAATCTAGCATGATCTACATTAGGTGACAACTGTTGTCTTCATCGTGTGCTATGAGAGATCGGAAGACTGAGGTTGCATGTGATCTGGGGAAACGGAGATTTCTTAGAATAATGGCCTCAAATGTTGGGAAGAGGCATGCAAGCATGCAGGGTTTCCAGGCCGGGAGGAGGGACAGTTTGGAGCAGGAGTGGTGACTCGGGGCTCCTGAGGATACTGGCATAGTGGGGTTAGGCGGAGAAGTGATTATTAGTCGGCAAGTACTTGTCTGATTTTTTTCAGGGTCTTTGTCTTGGTGTTAACACAATACCATAGACTGGTGACTAGGCAGGGGCTTGAAGGACAGATTGAAGTGAGAAAGGATCATCAACCACACAGCCCTGGTTTGAGTGTACAGATACAAGGGCCTGGTCCCAAGTGGCTAACAAGGACGTGACCATTTAAAGATGCAAAATATATACCAGAGTGTGTAATTTTCTAGAAGTCCATGTAGAATTTTAAAGATAGTGGCACCCCTGGATGGATCTGTCCCTCAAACAGGATATGCTGTTTACCGTGGGTGTACCTGCTAGCAGGTCCAAACTCCAAACGGTTCAAACAGGAAGTGAGAAGGAAGGTGCCAAGGAGAATGCAGGGCCTGGAAAGGCACTTGGGGGTTAACATGAACACAGCTGCTGCCCCCAGAGCCCAGCCTGTGTTCTCTATGCCTCTGCCGGCTATGCTGGCAGAGCCTCACGCTGCTCACCGCTGGGAAGAGCGTGGTCCTGAGACAGCTTTCATCTGTGTGGGGTGAAGGGTGTGGTGCCCTGTCCCGGTGATGGGCCTGGACATCAAAAAACCGGAAGAAGTGATGCCCAGTGTTTTCTTTTTTTTCTTTTCTTTTCTTTTTTTTTTTTTGACAGGCAGAATGGACAGTGAGAGAGAGAGACAGAGAGAAAGGTCTTCCTTTGCCGTTGGTTCACCCTCCAATGGCCGCCACGGCTGGCGCGCTGCGGCCAGCACACCACACTGATCTGATGGCAGGAGCCAGGTGCTTCTCCTGGTCTCCCATGGGGTGCAGGGCCCAAGCACTTGGGCCATCCTCCACTGCACTCCCTGGCCACAGCAGAGAGCTGGCCTGGAAGAGGGGCAACCGGGACAGAATCCGGCTCCCCAACCGGGACTAGAACCCGGTGTGCCGGCGCCGCAAGGCGGAGGATTAGCCTATTGAGCCGCGGCGCTGGCCACGCCCAGTGTTTTCTTTGTACCGCCTCGCAGGTGCGCAGTTTCCAGCGTCCACCAGCCACAGTGCCCTGTTGTCAGAAACGTGACTTGTGAACTGCAGAGCCTTTGAGTCTCCAGGGAACCCTGATAAAAATCTCCTAGTGGGGGCCAGAGCTGCGGTGTAGTGGGCTAAGCCTCCGCCTGCAGTGCTGGCATCCCATATGGGCGCTGGTTCTAGTCCCGGCTGCCCCTCTTCCTATCCAGCTCTCTACTGATGTAGGGGAAAGCAGTAGGAGATGGCCCAAGTGCTTGGGCCCCTGCACCCACATGGGAGACCTGGAAGAAGCTCTGGCTCCTGGCCAGGATCTGCTCAGCTCTAGCTGTTGGGGAGTGAACCAGCAGATGAAAGACCTTTCTCTGTCTCCTCCTCTCTCTGTAATTCTGTCTCTCAAATAAAGAAATCAAATCTTTTTTTAAATCTCACGCTGACAGCAGTGGAAGAGTACGTCTTTAGTTCTGCCAATCTGATATCTCGGGAGCCGTATTTCAGTCCTGTAGGAGGGAGGCCCGGCTTGCACTCAGATGTTTAGGTCTACGGAGAGAAAGGGTGATTCGGCAACACCGAGAGGGCCCAGCGTGTGTGTGTGTGTGTCTGTGTGCGCGTGTGT